TACTTATACCCATAAGTAAAGAGTTGCAGTATTCAAAGTGTGATAATATAAAACTCTTGAAAAGAAGTAATATGGTATTTGCCGGTACTAAGCGCTTGAGGCTGCGAAGTGCGCCTATCTTAGAATATACTTTCTTCAACATGATATTTATATTGTTACCGTAACCTGGGTTCGCTAACACAGAACGCGAAGAACACTTGATTTTTCAGTTTTTAATATCGTCCGCGAACCACACACACTTACAATCTGCTCTGCTCTCTCGACCACATGGCATGCCCCAAATATGGAGCTACCATATTTGGACACTATGTCACACAACAGTCCGTTACAATATGTACCTTAAATATGGTAATACTGTAACCAACAACTAATTGATGGATCACTAACAGATTACCCACTGTTGGCCGCCTGTCAGCTGCATATTCCCCAACAGGTCTACTTCAAGCTGTCAGCTGGCAGTTAAAGCGGACCATCAGCCATGAGTTGGCCGACAGTTTTTTTCTGGCGAGTGGTTTTTCACAAGTATCTAAACAACAAACAGGTAATTAAATAATTTATTTAATCAGAAAAAGCAAACCTAACCTTCTCTTTTTACTTGATCAAAAACCACAATGTCTATCGCTTCAGAATTACAACTCGTCAGACATACCTGTACGCTTTGCATACCTAGTTTATAGTACGGCGGTGGTGCGCACCAATGCGCACCAATTAAAATTATCATGTGACTCTCCTGACGAAGGGCTAACGTAACGCTCGAAACGTCAGCTTTTTAGTCGCGCGACCGACTATAGGTTTACCTTCGGATTTCTCCACAAAGCTCAGTCACGTCCTTTCTACGCTAAAACATACAGACCCACACACCGTTCGCGGTAGACCCACTCTAAAAGATGGCGTGCGTAATGAGCGTATATTTCGAACCGGTCGTTCCGCCAACTCAAATAGCAAAAGAATCAAACGATTTAGCGAAGGTCTCTCTAGTATCAAACCAGAAATCAAATGAGTTATTAGTGAACAGAAAATGAGGACAGAGTGACAGGAGAACATTTGCTGATAAATAGAAGGTGCCTCGTAATTAAAATCTGGGAAACGACAACAAAGATGGGCGTTTACAAAATCTGGACCGCATTGGATCGGATTGGATTGACAAAATCTGGACCGGATCGGAGCGGATTAACAAAACCTGGATCGGATTGCGTCCGATTGACAAAACCCGGACCGGGTCCGAAAAATATCGGATCGCTGTAAATTTCCCGCCAAAATAATCACGTAACATCCCATGATCAAGTTTTGGCATAGAAGTGGGACTGCCTTTTTTCGCAGCTCAGTGAAGCAAAGTTGTAATGGTTCTTCTTCGTATAAGATATTCCACAGGCGCTCCAAGCTCACTACACTAAAAGTATATTTGTTTCGCCTAAACAGGCATAAAGAACTACAGAAAACAGACGAGGTAAGTTCACATACTTTATTATTTTGAAAACTATACGTAATCATGTGTGTACCTGCTTTATTCAAGACGAGGACAGTCTCGACTCGCCTGCAGAGCAGGCGTTCTTGTGGAGTTTGGGTGAAAATTGAGGACTTTGGGCTTTCTGTTTTATTTTCCAGACCGCGCGTAAAATGGAGTGAGGCGAAAAATTAGGAGGCGGGTGGAGGGGGAGAGGAGAGAAGGTTCCCTTCCCTAGCCCCAACCTCTCCCCCTCCCCCCACCTTCTAATTGTTCGCCTCGCTCCATTTTACGCGCGGTCTGGAAAAAAAACAGAAACCCAAAACTCCGCAAGAACGCCTGCTCGACGACATTTAGCTACAATTATCACGTGACTTTTCGGAAAGTCGATTTCCTAGAAACTCTGGCCTTCTTGTTGGCGAGCTGTTTGAAGCGATTATTTTACTCTTTTTCTTGTGAGGAAGGAGATCTACCATTGAAAAATGACTAAAGCTTCGACGTTAGCCGAAAATTTAGAGAAGGAGTTGGAATGCGCTGTTTGCTTGGAGCAATTCAAAGATCCAAAAGTTCTTCCATGTCTTCATTCATTCTGCAAAATCTGTCTGGAAGGACTGGTCGGTAGAAAAGGAAATGTTTGGGAATTGAACTGTCCTTCTTGTCGGATAAGTGTAGAGATAAGTTTGCCAATATGATGTGTAAATTTTCCATTCCTAACAGTCATGATGTGAAACAAAATCAAGTGGCGACGCTGAGTGATTTCGCGACACCTCTACAAAACTTTACGTATCTATGATCATTAATTAGCGAAATTAAAGGGTTAGTTTGAATCTACGCTACACAAGTATTCTTTGAAGATTAAAGTAGATGTAAAGCAACAATGATGTTGTAGCATGATATGGCAGCGTTTGCGTAGTGTTTGTACAGAGAATGTGATTTTCAGAGGTGCTTGAATTGACGCTTTTCTGGCCGCCATCGCGTGACTGAAATGTTCAAAATGTATCTCTATTTTATCAAATAAGAGTGTT